CTACACCTGACCGACATTTCTTAACCCTTCTCTAAAGATAAAAAAAACTTAGCTGACATCAACAAAAAGTAAAATATAGCTCAGTCATGCCAAGATACACACAGGGATTCTTCCACAACTCAGCCTGAACACAATCAGCTCTTTTACCAAAGCTAAAGAATGATGTTTACCAATAATAATCATCAACTATTAGTGTGATGTGTCTATTAGCACAATATACAACTTAAAATAAAATAAAAAGGATCTCTTTTGGCTTGGCTATTGGCTATATTCAGAATTAGAGTTGCACAATATATCGTATCAGCATCAATATCGCAATGTGTCTATCCACAATGGTCACATAAGCAATGTTGAGCTGGGATTAGGCATGCTACAATAACCGGTTTCAAGGTTTATCGTGGTTTGGAAAAGTCAACTTAATACAATTAAAATGTTCTGTTGTACCGTTCCCAAAGTATATGTAAGGATTTTTTGTATGTATTTTTCATGTGTTGTAAAGAAATATGCGTTTTTAATGAAGACAGCAAATGTCAATGATTTATTTGAATTATTTAGCCTGGCATGTTTACCTTTCCAACATATTATAATTGTTTCTCAAAATAAAATATTTATATATTATATTTGTATTTATATATTTCTACAAAGACATTTAAAAAGAACTTTTTTTAGAGCAGTTATCACAACACCGTCAATCTGTGGTATTTTGATCCAAGGTTATCATACTCTCAGAAAATTATACCAGCCCATGCCTAGTTGGGATTATAGTCGAGCAGAAACCACAGGTTAAAACACACGATTTGTGGAGTCACTGCAGAACCGAACCATAGTATCTTGAATGTTTGTCATTTGTACACATTATTATTAATTCCTGTAACTGTGTAAGCACTTAACTGTGGCTTATTTAAATGATGAAGATCTATTCACTGGTATTTTACATTGAATTATTCAATAAATTTACCTGAATACTGTTAGACTATCTACTAGAAAACCACTAATTATGTCACTTAATCCTTGCTCAGTTTTTTATGACTGTAGTTTATTAAATGTATATTGTAAATAATATAAAATATATATTTATATTAAATAAATAAAGACCTACATTGTAAAACGGTTTTCTGTAATTCATATTTTGTTTTCCGTATTTTGTGATTCATGCTTTTTTTCTTTGCTTATTTATGCTTTTGAATTGAATTATGGGATCTTGATCTATGCTCCAAAATTTAATTTAATTTTAAACATTTGAAAAAGTGACTTTATTGACATTTTGAATAGTTTTAAGTGTCTGTGTTGGTGTTTTAAATTACAAAACAAAAACCTGGTAATAAGCTACCAGTACATTTCCTGTTATTTTACAGACTTCTTTGAATATTATTCATTCATCCCTTTATTAATCTGGGTTCGCCACAGCGAAATAAACCAGCAATTTATCCAGCATATGTTTTACACAGCGAATGCCCTTCCAGCCACAACCAATTACTGGGAACTCTATATATTATACGAAATGCAAACTTAAAAAAGAACTGTCTAAAATGTCAATAAAAGTCATTTTGCTAAACTGTACAGTTGAATTTTCTACATGAAAAGTGGACAGAGCAGAGATAAAACTCCCATAATGCAATTCACAACTGTAAATAAACAGAAAACACTTGTGAATCACAAAATACAGAACCTGTTAATTAACATATTTTTACCGACTATAGATGATTCATTCTCCTACAAAAGCATAACAATAAATGTAAATGAATGACTTTCCAAATAGTCAAGTAATCTGGTGAAATTGTATTTATATTATGCATTCCTATTCAGAAACTTTAACATCTAAGAATTTTTAATTAAATAAATAATAACATACACTTTACACTGGTTTTTAGCTAGAAAGGATACATGATACACTTTTGCCATTTAGTTAACTTATGCAAGTCTGAAACATTTTATTTTGAGAAATCAAAGATTGAGATCCTTTGGTAATCTGGTTGGCCATCCGCTACATCCAGCAGTCAATTATTTGGTGCCGGTTTCCTGTAAAGTTTAGTTCTATCCCCAGTCAGACACACCTGGGCTAGCTAATCAAGCTGTTACTAGGCTTTCTAGAAACATCTCTGCAGGTGTGTTGAGGCAAGTTGGAGCTAAAATCTGTAGGACATCGGCCCTCCAGGACAGAGGTTAGGCACCCCTGGTCATGAGAATTACTTAACTTACACTATGTAACCATATTTGTGTGTTTGATTTGATTTATTTATTTATTTATTTATTTATTTATTTATTTGGCAAACATCCTCAGATATTAAGAGATATCATGTACAGTCAGTATCAAAAAAAAAGTTGAAAAACCTATAATTAACCTTTAGTTTTATAAAGGCACTGTGTAAATTATTATAACTATTATTTATAGTGAACAGTGCTTCTTTTGTCCACCTAAACCAGGGGTGGCCAAACTTTTTCATAGTAAGGGCCAAAAACCAAACTTGATTGAGGGTGGTGGGCCAAAGGTAAATACACAAAACTGTATTATGTTAAAGTTGCTATTTGCTATTAGGGTTGCACGGATTACCAGTACATTGGTGGTATCGCGATACTATGGCTCCAAAATACTGGCTGTGCCACTGTACTTTATAAACGGTAGTATCAAAATTAATGGTTTATCTACAATACATAATGTTGCATGTGGAAAAGTCACTAAACTGCTCAAACATTTGTGCAACAATAGACCTTTTTTATTTTGCCCCCTATATTTCTACTCAGCCCCTCAAAGTTTTGCTATTAAAACTGTAAATTATTGCCTCAGTCCCCTTTAAATTTAATATGAAAACGGCAGCAGTATTCAGCTTCTTCCTGTCTTTTGTTTTTCATTTGATCAGCAAACCACAGCCGTGGACAGCGAGAGAACGAGGTGTGCATTTATCAATAAATTGTTAAAGTATCTGCTTATTTGCAGTAGTTTAATATAGATAACATTGTATCACCTGTATCCCAAAGTCAAGGAGGAGCAGTCTGGTTTTCTCAGCGTTCACTTCATCAGCACAGCTGTTTTCTCCAGCAAAAAACTCTTAATGACAAATTCGCTATTTTTATTTCAAAATGAACTACCAATATTAAACACTTTACAGTTCGTGTGGCATTAACTATACCATACAGTCTTGCACAGAAAGGATTAAACCAAGTGACAGAAGCACTTAGAGAATGTACTCGTTTAAACTGTCACTGATTTAATAAATGGAAATAAAAAATGCACTTGAATATAGAAAGTGTTTTTTACTATAGTAAACAGGTGGGTTGAGCCTATTTGGCTTATTCAGAACTCAAATGACTGTGGCTGTCTATGTAATAAAGTGGAATACAACCCATATTAAACACATTTTTAAGTGTATTACTATTCAATTACTACTTATAAATGTAATATTAGGTTTATATATACAGTTGAAGTCAGGATTATTAGCCCCCTTTGATTTTTTTTCTTCTTTTTAAAATATTTTTCAAATGATGTTTAACAGAGCAAGGACATTTTCACAGTGTGTCTGATAATATTTTTTCTTCTGAAGAAAGTCTTATTTGTTTTATTTCGGCTAGAATAAATGCAATTTTGAATTTTTTATGAACCATTTTAGGGACAAAATTATTAGCCCCTTTAAGCTATATTTTTTCTCGATTATCTAAAGAACAAACCACTTTTATACAATAACTTGCCTAATTACCCTAACCTGCCTACTTAATTTAATTCATCTAGTTAAGCCTTTAAATGTCACTTTAAGCTGTAGAGAAGTGTCTTGAAAAATATCTAGTCAAATATTATTTACAGACATCAAGGTAAAGATAAAATAAATTGGTTATTTGAAATGAGTTATTAAAATTATTATCTTTAGTAATGTGTTGAAAAAAAATCTTCTCTCGGTTAAACAGAAATAGGAAAAAAAATAAACAAGCGGTCTAATTTAATTTAGGGGGCTAATAATTCTGACTTCAACTGTGTGTATATATATATATATATATATATATATATATATATATTTTTTTTTTTTTTTTTTACTTGTAAGGAGTTAAGCCCCTCTTAAATGAACATCCTAAATTCGCTCCCACTCGTTGACATTTCTGCATTGTCTTCTGTCCATTGAGTAACAGTATTTACATTCATAATCAGATTCATTTACAAATAAATTTCATTCAAAGATTTCATTTCAACTTTTTAGTTGATCAATAAAACAAATATAAAGAATTCTCTGTTAAAGGCATGTTAATGGTGGGCCAAATCAAAGGTCCTCAGGTCCTAGTTTGAGCATCTTTGACCTAACTAATCCTTATCATTTTAGCGCCTTTCTGCTTTAGGACTTAATGTTGGGTTAATTTACAAATGAATGTACATTATTCATTACAAAAAGCGTATACATAAATTTCCTTCTTTAATAATCCTGCTGAGAATCAGAGCCACATTAACAAAGCAATAAAACTGATGCTTATTTATTCAAGCACACTATTTTGCATAATGAGGTAATGGGTGAATTAAACAAAATTTTGAAATATCTAACAGACTAGAATTTAACCAAATGCCCAATGCTGATTTTGCAGCCATTCTGTCTAATGTAATATCATCAAAGCCCCTAAATGTAGTAAGAACATCTCTGATGTTACCACTGTTTTACTGTAGTAACTGTGGCATCTTGGGTAGAAACTATGGTTGCCATGGTGACTTCTGCAATCAAATCATCTGTACACCAAGAAAGAAATACGTTTGCAGAATACAACTAACTTCACCTCTGATCGAGTGTTGACTAGCAAATATGATGAGCTAAATTAAATGCATCAGCCCTTTAATGATGTCAATATGAATCAATATGCGTGCAGTGCGACAGCGGTGCTACAGACATCCACATCCCTCCTCACGAGCTCGATTGAACGTTCATTTCACATTCTCACTGACGCATTTGCGCACAGGACAAACTTAGACAGCTGAATTTAATGTATGAGATCGATGGAGCGAGGTAATTTCCTAATTTGGCTGAGCTTACCCTTGAGACAGTGAGGTCTGTCATGAGCTGCTCGAAGGCCCGCGTCTCCTCCGCCTGTTTCTGGTTGTGCAGCGCGATCTTCTCGCTGAACTTCCGCGGGTTGGAGCCACTCGAGCCCGGGGATCCAGACATGGTCGGGCCGCAGAGTTTCGTGATAATCTTCGCAGAGAACTGACAGTTGAATGTCTTCGATATAGAAGTTAAACGTGCTTAAGTTGTCCCTCCATGTCTGAAAAGCGAGGAAGAGTGCAGTCCAGTCTCTTTAATGATGTTTGACGAGGTCGCTTTAATGACAAGAGCTTTGCAACCATTAATGAGCTGGAAAATGCGATGAAAGCGTATTATTAACAACTTAATGGAGTTAATTTCGCTTGAGCGCCAATTATCGATGGTATCTGGGAATTCCTTTTATTTTAATAATGTCAATATTTGTATACAGGCGATGAGCCGAATTTGCTAAAAGTTTGTCAGGAAACTGGACATCGCTAAATTATCAGTTTCGCTTGGCATCACAAAAGTAGTTCTTGCTTTGTATCGCGTAAGAAACAGGATGAGAAATAAAATACTGCACGATACCAAACAGAAAAGCTTCTACTTGGAAATGTTTCACTTGGATTTACGAAACAAGTTCAGTAGCGACTCTAGCTAGCAGGCTAAATACTTTGGATTCTAACAAGAGCGATTTTAATTATGCATTTTTCATGATTCCGCATAAATATTTAAGTGCCTACCATTATTTATGAATTAAGGTTGACAGCTAGTGATTTAACTGTCTGAATGTGCGTAATTGATTGATATTGCTTGCTAATGTACGGCGTAAAGTCAGCCGTGACAGCTAACCAGCTAATGAGCAATATGATAATCAAAACAATACAAGCGATTTCTCTCAAACCGACTGTAAATGACAGCAAACACCCGTGCGACCTGTTAAAGAATCACTTATAAAGCTAATTCAGTTATCCTGATTGTCCACAACACTTGAGTTAGTTTCGTGAGATTTCAACAAGTGGTCTCGCCGATGTAAACCTCATTACGCATTCAAAACTCGTCTAAACAGGTACGCGCGACAGCAACTTCGCAGCAAAGTAACGTTAGCGGCTGAAAGTGAGCAACAGACACTGGCTGTCCTGCGGCCACTGATCGACCGCTGTTGACACACGAGTCTGCCTAAATGTTTAGATGTTACTGATTCGCGAAGTGCAGCGGTGAAATGCGATCGTGTGGTCCGCGTGTGCTGCGCTCTTCTCTCTTCTTCTCCGTGTCCATCACCTGTACATCCAGCTGAACTGCGAGGCTCCCGCTCGTGACTCCACGCCGCACATTTGTTTTGTCAACTCCGATCCCTCACTCCGAATGAAAACAAGCCGAGGAGAAAATACTCAAGCCTGCCCCAAAACTGCAAAGCGATTTTTTGTTTTATAAGTTGTGTCCACAAGGAGGCAGTGGAGTTCCCTTAAAGGGACACACACATCATATTTACGCTGAGAATGTGTAACTTATCATGCGTGCACACATAACGCAGGCCACTGTCAGAAAGTGTATTTATAGTAGGGAAGAAAACAGAAAATCTTAAAGGAGGAATCTTAAAGGATCAAACACTCGGAGCATTATCTGTTGTTAAAAATATATAGTGAATGTAAATAATAAGATTGTTCTTGAGTAGTAATCAGCCTCTTTAAATGGTTTCTGAAGGATCAAGTGACAGCAGAAGGCTGAAGTAGCAGGTTTGCCATCTTTGATTTCATTAACAGTTATTTACAAAGAATAGGGATGAGTAGGGATGAAAGAACCTTTTTTTTTTTTATAAAAACCTCATTTTAAAGGGCACCTATTTTTCCCCTTTTACAAGGTGTATGATAAGCCTTTGGTGTCTCCAGAATGTGTCTGTCTTAAAATGTGCATCTTAAAATACCCACCAGATTATTTATTATAGAATAATCCAGAATCTGCCCATTTTGATGTCTGAGTATACTGAAGCTGTTTTTGTAGCCTGTGGCTTTAAATGCAAATGAGCTGCTTCTCTCTGCCCACCGTTTCCACCTGTGTGTCTGCTTCTCATTATGCGTTACATCAGATAAACAGCAGTCAGTGACAGAGACAGACATGGATGAAGCTGAAATACAGGTCATTCGTAAAAAATACGTTTAAAAGTAAGTTTATTTGATGTATTTGTGGTGGAGTTTATTCAAGCCTTTCTGAAATGATGAGTCTCACACAAATGATGCTTGCAGTATACACACACACATATATATTAGCGTTTACTGATACCTTGCGCCCGTGGTCATTATAGTAGTTAGGAATTACATAGCAATTTTACTGTCTATTACAAACATGCTCTGTTTTAAAAATGTTTTAAACCTATAAAACTAACAAAAAATCACAGAGTTTTAAAAAATATTTTAATCCCAGTTTGTTTGCAATTAAATCTTCTGTGTGCATGTGTGTACTTGTTATTATAGAAACATGGCGCCTGTCAATCAATTCAGTGGGCGGGAAAATTGCACTTCAAGGTCATGTTGCGGTGGGCCTAAAAATCACAGGGATTTGGGTCCTACTTTAAGGTCAGGAAATTAAAAAAAAAATAGAGACTTGCTGAGTTTCTATCACTTCAGTATGAATGTGGACACACTATACCAACACACAGTTCTGTTGAAAAAGCTTCAACTTCAACCAAAATTCTACAGGCACTTTTAGCCTTGTAAAGTTAAGTAAAAAAAAAAAAAAAAAAAAAAAACTTGTTCAAAATTAGCATTACATAGCCTTAAAAGTTTAAACAATTTGTCTAGTTTGAAGATCTGTAAGAGGACAAACTTAGATATAGAGAAACATTTTTTCCCATTTTTTTTAACTGAACAAATGTCAATTCCAGCACATCTCAATATAGAGCTTATTTCAAACTAAAATAAATGATGGCAGTCAAACATTGTCTAAGATCATTTTTGTGTCTAGTTTAACCAATCTTTCCGCAATATATATATATATATATATATAATGAATATACATTTGTCAATGAAATAAATTAGTTGTATGCTGAATTATACACCTGTCACACTCAAAAATGTAATTAATTTGGTTAAGAGCTTATTCAAAAATAAATAAACTGAATTTGTATGTTAAATAGAGTATGAACTTATACATTGTGAATACACTTTAAATGTGTGATGAGAACTTTTAAAATATATTTTTTTAATGTGTGTGGTGATGGAAATAACATTTGAATGAACAGTTTATTGTGGAAAAAAATGAAAAATAGCTTCACCGATTAGCTTTGAATTAATATTAGCCTGTCATGTATACAAAACACTCTTATTTACCTTCATTTTGTTTGGTTTTTAAATACATCTTTGAAGGTTCAACAGGTTTCAAAATGAGGTAGAATAAATGTATTTCCTTATCCAGCAATATTTACCTTGATTTTTCTTTAAGTGTTGTTAATAAAAATGTAAGTTCCCTCCATCTTCAAGATGTTCTCAGATATCACTTAAATAATCCCACCTAAATAATCTTTCATACAAACTTTTAAAGCGACATTACAGTGTTGTGGTGGAAATGACACAGATACTGTGGGACAGCTATATTTTGTATCAAAAATAATATTGATAATAGTCTCACATTAATAACTATAAAATATTTATTTATTTCACCAGTGCTTAATTAAGATACATTAATAGATACCAGATAAATAATCTTTTAAAATGTTATACTCATTGTTGAAGTTTAAAACTGGGTGTGCAACAAGGTGAAAACAGTGATTTTGACACCTAAAAGGTGGTTGAGTAATATGAAAAAATATATAAAAGAAAGCTAGTACATTTTTTAAAGTAGGTTTTATTGTTAGTTTGACAAAGATAGAGGAATTTGAACAAAATCATAGATATTTTTGGATATAAGATCAAAGGACATAAAGGTGCCCGTAATTAAAGAATTACCCATTTTCTAGATTTACTGATTTAATCTTGTTCATTTTAATGTATCCAACTATAACCTTGTTAATGTTAACTGCAAACATATTTTGTCATTTATTTTTGCATTTTCGTTTTATATTTCAGCTCCATCAAATATTTCAAAAACAATCCAACAATTCAAAATGTTCACATTTACTACAATTTTTAATTTCGTTTTATTGTTATTGGCAATATGGATTAATTTTATAAAACATCTGAATCCAAACACTGAAAACTCTAAAGTGAAAGTGAAAAATAAGGTTTGTCTATCAGCAGTGGGAGATAAATAACAGTATTTCTTCAGTCATCACTGGAACTCTTGCCATTTAAACCTGATTTACTTTTAAACTAAAAAACTCAGACATTTCGAACTAAAGGATGTGTTATTGCACTAATTTTTCATTACTGTGATGTGAAAAGAGAAAGGTTAAATTAATTTACTTTCTGCCCTGAAAAACTGAAATTTGGAGCTAACTGCAGAACACAACAGCTAATATTTGGCAGCTCCATCAAGAGTTGCATGTAGAATGTGTTTTAAATAGTCTGGAAAGCAAATGCTGTCAGTGCTTCAAGAAAATCGCTTTGTTACTTTTGTCCCACATTATTTTCATCCCCACTTTGTGTTCCAATAATCATTTCATCAAGCAATGTGTAACTATTATAATTATAATACAGACTGCTTATTTTTTGTTTTTGAAAAATGACTGCTTGATCCTGTCACAGTGTATATTGAATGACCTCTTACAAACGTCATGTTTGCACATAACTGCAATTTTCATATTTGAAAAGTATAAAGTGGTGTTGAAAGTGTTTGCCTCCTAAATGATTTCTTAGTTTTTGAATGTTTTTCACACTTCAATGTTTCATAAAACAAATTAAAATATAAAGTCAAAGACACATTAGTAAACACATCATGCAGTTTTGAAATGAAGTTGAAATAAAACACTTTCAAATGATTTTATTAATAAGAAAAAAAACAAAATGTAAAAATACATAGACCTGTGTAAAAAAGTGTTTCCCCTAAACCAAGTAACTGGTTGGGGTCACTCTAAGCAGCAACAACTGCAATCAAGTATTTTTGAGAACTTACCAGGAGTCTGTTACAGTGCTGTGGAGAAATGTTGTTCCACTCATCTTTTTAGTGTTGTTGTAATCAGCCACATTGAAGGGTTTGTAAGCATGAACGGCCTTTTTAGCACATTAGGTTTAAGAAAAGTGCTTTACAAATAAAATACACAATTATTATTAATTATTATCATTATTATTAAGGTCATTCTACAGCATCCTAATCAGATTCAGGTCAGGACTTTGACTAGGCCACTCCAAAATCTATATTTTGTTTTTCTCAAGGCGCTCAGAAGTGGACTTGCTCATGAGTTTTGGATCATTGTCTTGTTCCCTTCATGTCACTAACAGATAGCCAGACATCCTCTTTTAGGATATTTTGGTACACAGCAGAATTCCCAGAAAGTCTTCCAGTTCCTGAAGCAGCAGAGCAGTCCTAAACCACCATCACACTACCTCCTGTGAAGGTTCTCCACTGTTCCATGTTTTGTCATTTGTAGATAATGGCTCATACTGTGATTCGCTGCAGTCCCAAAGCTTTATAAATGGCTTTATGATCTTTTCCAGACTGGTATAGGTCTCAGTTGTTTTCTTTCTTATTTGTTTTTGAAATTCTTTGGATCTCGGCATGATGTCTAGATTTTGAGGGTCTTTTGGTCTACTTCACTTCGTCAGGCAGGTCCTTTTTGATTGCAAACAGATGGGGCAGTAATCTGGCCCAGGTGTGGCTGGAGAAATTGAACTGAGGTGAGGTAAACCAGAATTATATTTTAACAGAGGGACAAACACTTTTTTCCAGACAGGGCTATGTAGTTTTGAAGTTTGTTTTCCCTTAATAATAAAAACCTTCATTTAAAAGCATGATGTATTTACTATCTTTGACCAATCTTTAAATTTGTACGATGATCTGAAAAATTGTGAGTGACAAACATGCAAAAAAAATAAGAAACCATTAAGAAAGCAAACACTTTTTCACACCACTTATAGACAGCTATCCTGCCAAGAAGTTACACTTACTGGCCACTTTATTAGGTACACCTGTCCAATTGCTCGTTAACGCAAATATGTAATCAGCCAATCACATGGCATCAACTCAATGCATCTAGGCATGTAGACATGGTCAAGACGATCTGCTGCAGTTCAAACAGAGCATCAGAATGGGGAAGAAAGGGGACTTTGAACATGGTTGTTTGTGCCAGAATGGCTGGTCTGAGTATTTCAGAAACTGCTGATTTTCACACACAACCATCTCTAGGGTTTACAGAGAATGATCTGAAAAAAGAGAAAAGATCCAGTGAGCGGCAGTTCTGTGGGCGCAATAGAAGATTGGAAAAACGCTGCCTGGTCTGATGAGTCTCGATTTCTGCTGCGGCATTCAGATGGTAGGATCAGAAATGGCGTCAACAACATAAAAGCATAGATCCATCCTGCCTTGTATCAACGCTTCAGGCTGCTGGTGGTGGTGTAATGGTGTGGGGGAATATTTTCTTGGCACACTTTGGACCCATTAGTACCAACTGAGCATCGTG